CTCAAAGTTTACAAATTCTATCATTATTGAATATTTTTTACTACAATAGCTCCTTTCCTTTTAAAACATAATTTTCAAAAACTTTCTGGTCACATGCCTCATCTGTACTTTCCACGTCATCCGATGCTCCTGGTGAGCTCTGAAAAAATTCCAGAAGTTTCAATTTCTTGGAAAAATATTTTTTCTGTAAATCACGAGTTCGAATTTCATTAAAATCCACCCACCTATCAAACCAATATTTTGTCTATATAAACATCTTAATTAAAGTTTTGAGACCTATTTTTTCTCAATGAACCAATGAATATCGATTATTTTCCAGAGACATAACATTTCACAAGCCGGTAACTCTATCGTTTTGTTTTTTCTTGTTTTTTCCGTGTCATCATTTTCCTTCCTCGTCCATTTTTTCCGTTTTTTTTGTTTTCCCAATTTTTATTACTCCCTTTTTCTTACCTCATTTTAAATTCATTTACCAGTCGAATTCCTTTGCATCCTTTCTCTTTTTTTTTCACTTTGTGATCAAAAACGTTCCGTTGGTTCTATAATAGAAAGTGGGCGGAGCCTGAAGAGAAGGCTAATCACGCCCCCAGGAAAAAAGAAGGAGGAGAGGAGGAGAAAAAGTGGCCAAGATTAGTTTTTTGATGTTTTTTTTCGAAGAAAGTTTTATGTTTTTCTTCTAGTTTAGTGTTCCGCCTGTTGAGTTGAATGACGTTTCGAGTCAAGTGTTCTTTAAAATTTCAATTTGAACTTAGAATTGAGAAGAGTGGGTTCTCCGATCTATAGGTTTGCGGGTCTATATTCTGGGAATTTTCAGTCTGTCTGAAATTGATCTTCGGCTATAAAATTAGTAGTTTTCACTTTTTCAGGTTCCTTCACAGAACTTTAAACCCATTTTCAGTGTTTTTCCGTTTCAATCAGTTGTTATTGTTTTCTTGTGACTTCATATTATTATTAAACCGATAACGATTTCCACAAAAAACCAACAATTTTTCAATCAAGTGGTTGAATCATGTTCTCACAAAATAATAAATGCAATCAGTTCCAGAATAACATAGTAACTTTTCTATTATTTTCAGATATTATTCTGGTCTAAATTCAATTTTAAATGAGATTTAATCGCTCCGAACGCGCAACAGCTAGTTGCGGTTGAAAATTCGAGAGTGGGCGGAGCTTAGGTCGAGTAGCGAAATCCTTGAAGGCGCATTTAAAGGTTCATGTTTTCGTTATTCTTTCTGGGGGTATTTTTCTCAGTTTTTGCGGCTAATTTTCTCGATTTTGAATTTTTGTTTTCAAGGAAATCTGAAATATCGCAAAATCTGCATAAAACACTGAAAATCGATAAAACTCATCAAAAAATCTGATTATAAGTCATAAAAAGTTACGACAACAAATGGTCTTTTGTATGCGACTTTAAGGATTTCTCTACCGGACCTAAGCTCCGCCCACCCTCAATTTTTGAATCCGCATTGAAATAAACCAGAGCAATAAAAATTCTGAAAATCCAAAGAATATCCTTCTACATGACTGCTCTTCAACCTAAATATTATCTGCACCGAGCATCGATTCCCTCACTTTCGTTTTTTCGAATTCTCACGTAAATATAGCACTTTTTCATTTAAAGGTGGTGTACGGTGAAATTTTTTATTGCATCAAAATGTGCAGAAATGCATGTAGATTGACATAAAAATAAAGAAAAAATATAAAAAATTCCTTCGGCGAGAAAAACGCATCGAAAAATACGCTGAAAGCCCTTAGGGACGAGGTTTTTTCTAGGCCGCCCGGTGAGTAAAAGCGCGCGAATTCAAACTTTCAAAACTTTTTCGCTCGTTTTCCTTTTTTTTCGGTTTTTTTCAAGAGTTTTCTAGGTTTTTGTCAATTTTTCTTCCAGATACATCGGAAAATTTGAAAAAACAGTGAAAACGAGCGAAAAAATTGTAAAAGTTTGAATTCGCGCGCTTTCACTCACCGGGCGGCCTAGAAAAAAGCTCGTCCCTAAGGGCTTTCAGCGTATTTTTCGATGCGTTTTTCTCGCCGAAGGAATTTTTTTTGATTTTTTTCTTTATTTTTATGTCAATCTACATGCATTTCTGCACATTTTGATGCAATAAAAAATTTCACCGTACACCACCTTTAACCTAAAATAAAATTCCCTCCGGATTTACTGAATTCTTATAGTTTCCCCATAAACAGCAAATAAAATACTAAACAGCAAATAAATCAATTGTCGTCAGCGCGGTTTGTGGTCTGAATTCCAGAATATCAATTGATGAGTCTGTGACCTCTTATAGGGGATGGGAGAATGAGAAATAGACTGGACTGAAATTGGAGAAGTGGTCCGAGGGTCCCTGGGGATTCATGGGAAAGGATCAAAATACCTCGATGTTTTGAGAAATGTAGGGTTTTATTGAGAACACAATAGGAGTTCATTAGAGAGGAAGCCATTATTGTTGTTTTAGTTTATTAGGGTCTAGGAACTATTGGAAAAAGTACACTTCGAAGAAACTGGTCTGGAATTTCAAGTACTTTGTGATCCATCTGAACCAAATACCTCAACCACCAACCGCTCTGATTCATCTGAAACTCCAACCTGGAACATCAACCAGTTAACGCAACACTATTAATTTCACTTCCAGTCAATTAATTAACCATTTTTCCTCTTCTAATCTTTTCTTTCCCATCACTGCGTCATTCTCTTGGCGCTGTGCTGTTTCTTCTGGAGACAACGCATCACGGAAAAATATTTTCTGTGTCTGCTCTGACCTCAATGAAATTTCCCTCTCGTTGTTTTTTTCACATCACTGTAGCATTCTAATCCCAAATCCCAAATAAAACAGATCCTAATTTTTCTGAGAATCGTTTCGAACTTGCTTCGAAAAAAAAAAGAGAAGAAGAATGTCTTGTTTTAGGGGGCGGATTGTGTTGTGCTCTTCTTTTTTCTCAACTTGAAACATTTTCTCAAGAGTTTCAAAAAGAACAACAAAGAGAGTCTTTGTGTTTTGTTTATCTCTCTACTATTGTTTCTCAAGTGCTCCTAAATTAGGAAAAATAGAGACGATGATTTTTTGGTTTTGGTACAAAACTTGATCATCTCATCTTGAGGGTTCCATTCGGTCAGGAAATTTAGCCGGCCGACCGACCTTCTACCCAGCAGACCGACCGAACTCGTGCATTTGCGCGTCAACATGCCAGAAAGACGCGCGTCTTAAAATAAAATGCTTCGTACGCAAACACTGTCACATTGACGCGAGAATGCATAAATTCGATCAGATCGGTCGGCGGTTGGTCGGCGGTCGGCAAATTTCGAACGACTGAAATGAAAGCCTTAGTAAGGTTCTTTTATTCAAGCAATGATTCTTAAAAAGTATGTTTCAAGAGCATTATTTCAATCATCCCAAAACCTCTAAACTCTGTTTCTGGGTATCTAGAAAAATATCTGTGAAAATTTCAAAATTTGATCCTATGATCTTCATCTCCGTTCAATTTCTTTCCGAATTATTTGCTTTCTTGCCCACTATGCAAAACACTTTCCCCTCCCCTTCCCAGAAATTTCTAGAATCGTACTTGGCATAGAAAATCTTTTTTACTTTTTTTTCTCTAGACAAATAGCCTCGGGACCTAATTCATTTTTTCAACTTTCCTCATATTCGGAACCAGATGTCTTCGGAAGAATGTATGTGACGTGGAAAAACGTGGAGAGAGCAAGAAAAAAGAGCCCCCTGAAGCTCCGCCCCATTTGTTCGAAAAGGAAGAAAAAAGACGGAAAGAAGTGGAGAGAGAGAGATGTGATACTTGATCCAATTACATATCACAATTCAAACAAGAACTATCGGGTGGGACTAGAGAAGAGAGTAGGTGATCTATTTACTTTTTATTTGCTGTGCTGCCCCACGCCTTCTGAGGCACGAGCACTGGCACCTTCTACTCATATATTCCATATTTAGATCACAAGAGTAATTGTTTTAGTGACACAAGAAGATAGAAATATGAGATCAAGGAAGATTTTTTAGTGTCTTCTTCTTACCATTTTCGAATATTTGTACCTCATTGTTTCCATTCACTCAATTTTGGATTTTTTGTTTCCGTTAAAAAATATTGAAAACTTTCTCTGTCTTTTCCAATTGGCTACATAGAATTTTTTAATTTGCTTGAAACATTCACAGTGTTTTGTTTTAATACTTCGGATTTCTACAAAATTGTTTGCTGAGAACTTTTTTGAGATTTTTCAACAAATTCACAGTTACAGTTCAAAGGTATAAAGTAAAAAAGCTCTCAAAGTTTTGGTTCTGGACTCCAGACGAAAGCAATAGTTAACTCTTCAGCTAGCCAAAACCTTAAAATCCGCTTTTTTATTGCCAGTCCTTACTTTAACTATGAATTTCCGGTATACTTTTTTTACAGATTTCCGTTTTTTAACCTTCCTCTTATCAAAGAAACAATTATAACTCCCTTAAACAAAAATGACATAAATGTTACTAATAAGGCAATTTAAAATTGGGACTCAAAGAATCTCTTTTTTGAGGTTCAACCACCTGCAGTAGAAAGGCCTGTAAAGTTTCAGCTAATTGTTCTGGGCTCCCATGACAGATATCAAAAATAAGTCAACTTATAAAACATTAATGATATTATGATAAACAATTTATCAGTTGACAACTTTCTCATATCTTTGACAAGTAGCGAGATAAATTGGCTCAAATTTGGAAGCTACAGGTTTTCCGGAGTTTCCCTTTTTCAAATCAAAACACATGTTTTCCAGTTTCAGATAAATTTTCGAGATCTAACTAAACTACAAACTTTTTCTCCTGGATTTTCGAGCTCTTGAAATGCTCTTCTTCCATGTGATTACGAGGTCATTCTCCATCATTTTGATTTATTCGAATTTCCGCTTTTTTCTTCGTTTTTCTCTTCTCCCAAACGTTTTCTCGTTCAGTTCCACCCACTCTTCTTTACTTTCCAATGAGATCATTTTTCTTCCAAAGATCCCAAAGTTTCAGATCACAAAAATGCGAGAATGTTCGGTGATAATCAGTCCATACACAGTCATGATCTCTGCAGTGTTTATTCTATGCCTCATTCTTTCTCTTCTTGGTAATGCAATTGGTAAGTTATTCCTTGGAAAATTTAATTGTCTGTGGTCCCGTTTAAAATTTGATCTCATCCACATTTTTTGGTCTCCAAGGCTTGGGGTCCAAGCCCATCTGAAATCCGAACCTTTTTTCCATTTTGCTTCCAAACTGCAAAAACTGAAAGGAAGACATAGACTAAAGAATGCTCTGTAAAAATGTGTGTTTTGGACTTGCTTGTCGTCTCGGGGACCTCCTCGTTTGATATGACACCCACGGGAAAAAACACTCAATTTTTAAGGAAAATATTCGAAATTTGACAAGTGGGTCCATTTTTGGCAAAATTCAAAATCGAGGGATGTCTTTGAAAATAGTGAAATTATAGAAATCACCGTTTCTGAAAGTTTGGAAGTTTCAAATCCATTTCTTGAATTGTTCCTAATGGCCAATTGTGAAGAACCAAAAAAACCAGTTTTCGAAAATCAATACAGAAGTTACCTTTTCAACAAGTTTAGAAGTTTCAACAAATTTTGTTGAATCGTTCTTCTAACGAAATTGTCACTAACCGAAAAGAAAAATTCAAAATACCTCTTGACTATTCTAAGGGTTCGAGAATTGAATTTCAATAAGTGTGCATAGATCAAGTGTGTATATGTATGTCATAGGTGTTCAAAAAATAGACAGACAGAAGATATGAAATTTTATATTCAGCTATTTTCGAACGTTTTCGGTTTCGTGAAATTTAGAAAGCCTAATTGTAGTAAGCATTTTCAATTCAAACTTGTAAATGGTTAACTAAACTGACAAAGACGGCAAATACTAGGAGAAACCGCCCGGGTTTGATTCCTACCAGTGGCGCGCAATTTCACTGACTGAGTAGTCCAAAGATGAACGACTTAATGTTTCTTGTGAACTTCATAAGATTATGCAATTTTGAGAAACGGTAATTCAACTCAAAGTTGATCAAATAATCTGAAACTTGGCCAGTTTACTGATGAGTTACTTTAATTTTTGCCCTCCAAATTTAAGCCCAGTACATAGGTTTATTAGTATGTTAAGCTAACAAACCCTCTGTATCCCAATAATATGTAACTTTAGTCTCTCTCTCTCTCTTTACTCTCTCTCTCTAGTAAGCCTTCAAAAAAGTTTGTTTCAGTAATCCTCACAATCCTCGGAAAGTCACATCGGTCGCGGAGCATCACAAATTTCTATCTTTTAAATCTGGCATTCGCCGACCTCCTTCGAAGTATCATTTGCATTCCAAGCACACTTCTCGGTGAATTAACACACTGTTGGCTTCTTGGAGCAGCCATGTGTAAAATTGTTGCATTTCTTCAACGTAAGTATTCAATGATGGGAAAAAAACGCAGAGAGAGGGTCGGGACTGAAAAATAATGTACGCGGAAGTGGGTAATGGGGGTTTTAAAAGATTAAGAGGGAGAAGAGAGAAACAAGCAGTACATCAATCAAAAAATGAATAGAATTGAAAATGGGAGTGTTGGAAAAAGGAAATTCTCTGAAAAATAATTTTAGTCTTTAGTCTAGAAGAGAAGGAGATAGAGAAATGTGTGAAAATGAATTAAAGGGACACAGGGCTCGTACTGTTCTATGCTAGTGCGCTTCAATGAGAAGGGGGCGTGAAAAAGTTTTAAGCCAGTGAAAAATTGATTTTCGAGTTGAATATCGTATTTTTAACGGCCTAAAAATTCGCTACGTCACTTTCTCAATAAAGCACAACAGCATACCACATCAGTTCGAAAACTGTTAAGGAATGATAATTTGAAAAAAGCCAATAAATCAATTGTGATTACGTCTTTATTCAGCGTTAAGATTGGCTTCAAATTGAAAGCATTGACAAATAACTTATTTGAAACAGTAAAAATTTTGAAGAAAAAAAAAAAAGATTTCGCCGAGCTCCAGATTTTTGAAACAGGTCAAAATGACCGAAAACCTTATCGACCGGTACTGTATACCATCGGGCGGCCGTTCCAGTTTTGTTCACGTAGCTCAGTCGGTGGCGGCGACGCATCTTCAATACTCGTCTCACAAGTTCAACTCCTCGAGAGGCTTATATGAACAAAAATGTAGAAAAAAAATTGTTTTTTTTTTCATGTCCCCCACCTTTCAAAGGGACGACAATTCGGAAAAAATTGTTGATATCCTACAATTCGCGATCAGATTGTCTTCAAAATAATTATTCATGGCATATAGTTTTCTTAAAACTGTAAAATTTTGAAGAACAAAAATCCTTTTTTGGATGAAGACACATTCGATTCAAAACCGTAAAATTTGCTTTTTTCAGCTGTTGGAGTTTGTGCATCTGCCTACACTCTTGCAGTCATTGCCATCGAACGCTACTATGCAATTTGTAGACCGTTGGAGTCGAGAAAATGGCAAACTAAGGTTAGCTTTCACCTGAAAACTGGTTCAAAAATAATATTTCCAGAAGCGCGCCCTGATCACCATCTCTTTAGTCTGGTGTTTCTCATTTTCCGCCAACCTAACTAGCCTTTTTCTCTATGACACTGTTCCAATCGGAAACAAATTCACATGTGATTCTACCAAAGGACCACTGGTGGATTTCATTTATCAGCTTTATTTAACATTTGTGAGTTTCTATAGAGAGTTCAACTACATTATCTTTCACTTTTAGACTCTTCTATTCGTCCCATTGGCTCTGATGGTTGGTCTTTATGGAAATGTGATAATAACATTAAACACTGCAATTAACAGTGATCATCCGACTGTCGAGCAACAAATGATCGAGAAAAGTAGGTCAAAAATCGTTTGGCTCAAAAATCATCAAACCATTTTCAGCACTTCCATCCCGAGCATCATTCTCCGATTGGTTTGTAAGTGCGGTTCAGAGAGTCCCAAGTATGAAAGTTGTGTCAAAAACGGTAAGCTAAAATTTGGATTCTTCTAGAAATGTTCTCAAACTTCAGTTCCAGTTCAAAGAGAAGAACTCGCTGTCAATTCCTCAAACAACTGGCCTTTCTGCTCGTCCGAGCCGGTCATCATTCTCCTCGTTTTTCTCAACGCCACGTGGATCTTTCGATGTGACGATGCTCCTTCGAAGCACTAATCAAGTGAGTTTTATACTGAATTTATCAAAATTGGAAGAAATGTTTTCAGGAAAAGATACTGATTGCTAAGAAGAAGGTCACTCGGATGTTGATAACATTGGTGATTGTATTTGCCTTCTGCTGGGTACCATCCTATATGTACTGGCTACTGTTGCGGATGGCTGATCTAGCGGTGAGTTGGGTCTCCATAAATCATTACCAGATTGAATTATTGTTATCAATTCAGAAATTTCAAAAAATAATTGAAAAAGAAAAAAATTATAAAGATTTTTCATTGTTTCAGGCCACCTCTCTCTGGAATCCAGGACTCAACTCCTCGCTCACTATTCTAACCTATGTCAGCTCATTGGCTAATCCAATCACCTACTGTTTCATGAACAAATCATTCCGATCGTCTGTTCTGGCTTATTGCCGTCCGAAACCAAAACGTCCATTGGTAAGCTTCTGTTCATATTTCATTCTAATCCTAAATTTTTCATATTTCAGGCTCGCTGCTCCGCAATGCCGACTCGCAAAAGTCCATCGAAAGAATCGCCAACACATCTTCCGATTCCTATGATTAAGATTGATCTTGTCATGGATAGCAGTGTTCATATTTAACACCTTTTTTCTTTTTTATTGTTTTTTTTTTGTACCTTTGATCTCCGAACAACTAGGTTCAAGATACTCATACGCGCCAATTCTAGTCATTGTGACGGGTGTTTAAAAAATTGAATGCCAAAAAATGAATGAATGATAAATCTCAATAAAATGTTCTCAATTTGAAACCCACAACGATTCGTGTTTCAGGTGCCGCTTATACTAAGGGTTATATTGGAATACATAGTAGTCTTCATTCACAGTTAAAATGCGAACGGATCCGTTACGGACGCTCAGCGTTCGCGCGCGGTTAAA